TCTGGTCGAGGACCACTTTCAGGTAGTAATTATATAGGTTGCCGCAGACACCGCGATTATCGAGAAACGCCGCTACTAATATTATGTCTGTGACTGTGGAGTTGTCACGCATGTCTAATTCTGCTTACTTGCATTGCCAGCTGTTGGCCACAACGGCATCAAAGATCAAAAACCACGAGGCGTGGTTGCAATGGTGTAGTTAATCGCAACAAGACTGCTTTTGGCAAGAACAAGCCGTTGCATTGTTCGACCCATGACATGTTCCTGCATAAGTAGTACATAAGTTTAGGACGGTATGTAACTTTTGTTTGGGGGACTGGGAAGCGAGAGCAGAGTTCCGTTGAAGTGTTTAGTAGGAACTAGGGATTAAGGTTTAGGCGGTGTAGGGTTTCGGATTTCGGAAACCATCGAAGAAATCTAAAAGGTCTGAGCTGTTCGGTGCCTTCCTCGCCGCGTCGTTATGGGGTTCATGAGACGGAATCTCAAATCAACATGGCGCACCAAGCGGTTTTAATCAAGGGTGTGTATTCAAAGGGGCTGTTTACGGCATTTATCTTACGACATCCCAACCGAAAAGTGCGAGGAAAACCTGAACTGAATGGCTTGAGCCCGGCACATTGCATGGAACAAGACAGGCGCCGTCGCGGATTTTTGTCTGGCGCTCAGGTCTGTTCGGTTTTAAATTCAGGCCTTTGTCGGACTTTCGCCGTTTACTCCTGCCGGCGTGATTTACGCTTTGGCCGTGTATGCACTGCATGGCAAATGTCTGACAACTTGTGGTTGTGATGCAATCCTAGGAGTTTGAGCTTGCACCATTGGATCTACTTTAGATTTTAAGGGCTTCGGGTCTACACTTTGGATTCGGCCTCGCACCCTACATGGAATGGAGCCGCTGGCCTGGATTTTCGTTATCAGCTGCAGTCTTGCCAGAGCCGTGCAAGAGGTTTAGGGTTTAGGGCGCCCCTAAATCCTTAGACCCCTAAAGCCTACAGCCCCAAAACCCCAAAGCCCCTAAACCCCAAACCCCTAAACCCCGAAGCCCTTCAACCCTAAGCCCCTAAACCACGGCTAACACCAACACCTCGAGCCATCCCCTGCTGCAAGACTCGTAGCCGAACAGGATCCAAATCAGAAACCCTAAAACCTGAAGGGCTTGTAGAGTTTAAGCTTTAGGGTTGAAAGGGCTTAGGGTTGAGGGAACCCCTAAACCATGCCTGGAACCCTGGACCCTGCAGGAACCCTAGACCGTAAACTTGAAAACTCTATCCCTCCCGTCCCTGGCTCGCGAGCGTAGCTGCAAAGCTCTGGCTTCCAGACAGGCTTTTGCACTGACCTTGTTGAGGTTACGGTAGCTGTAGACATACACCGTAACCCTTTATTCTTATGAACCCTTATTTGGCTGCCCGATTCACATTTGTTCACGATCCCTTCCTTCGATGAGGTGGCGCACGCAGATTGCGCTAAAATTATTGGCAGGCCCGGAGAGGGCTCAATCCGTTAAGCCCTAAACCCTTAGTTTCAAGGCTTACGCACAAGCCGTAATCTTTAAACCAGAGTATGTACACCCTGACTCCCGAGCCCCCGTTGGGAGGGGCATGGGTAGTTCTATGTGGTGTTTTAAGTTCCCTAATACGAGCCACAATCACAGTTACCTTACTTATACCCCCATGTCTAACTACCCATGAGCCTACAAGTAGACCGTAAACCCTACACCCTAAGCCCTAAACCCAATTATAGTTACTTGTGAACGTAGTAATGATGGGACCCTAACAAGGTTCACAGTAAATTCCTTAATTATGGGGTTTTGGAGTTTCTGCGGACCTCAATATGGATAGGCGGTTTCGATATCCGAAACATTGGTCCAGCTCCCAATCTGTAATATAGGGGTCGGCATTTCACTTAATTATATAGCCCTCAATATAACTATAGTACAATATCCCCCCCTGCAAGACTCCAAGTCTATTCTGGAGAATGGAAGCTGACTCCCTAAGTTCGAGGCTTGGGGTTTAACGCTTTGGGGGGACATTTCGCTGCAGCTCGAAGCCTTCACGGCAAGTGAGTGCTTTGCACCAGGAAAGGCGAAATCATGAGTAGAACTTGTTTTGAGCTAGAGGCCATGTTTTCAATGCAGACTCTTGGCGTGTGCTTGTTCTATGGAAGTATCAGCCGGTACTGACTGTTTGGCATGGTTCCGTTCGGTTTGGTGAGAGTTCAGTCGGTTGAGCATTTTGTGCGGGGGTGCAGCTTAGGGTCCTGAAGGTTCAGCAACTTCGAGGTCCGCCTCCAAAGCCGTAAATACCCGACGTCATGCCCGGAAGCACACGTATACGGAGGACACTGAGACAAAGAGGGAGAGATCTCTCAAGGTGTGTGTGTGTATATATATATATGTATATACGTATATATACAGATACATATACATATGCGTGTGTGTGTGTGTGTATGCGTTTATATGCCTTCTATATATCTATGCACATGTAGCACGACACACAGTTCAGCATGTATCCACTTATGTGATGTATGTGTTTGCGTTCATATGTTCGAATGCATTTATACTCACTTCTATGCACATCCCATGCATACAAATATACATATACACACAAGTGCATGTGCAACTGTATATATATATATATATATCAACATATATATCAACATATAAATGTATGTATGTATGTATGTATGTATGTATGTATGTATGTATGTGTGTATGTATGTATGTATGTATGTATGTATGTATGTATGTATGTATGTATGTATGTAGGGTATGTAGGGTATGTTATGTTATGTTATGTTATGTTATGTTATGTTATGTTATGTTATGTTATGTTATGTTATGTTATGTTGTATGTATGTATGTATGTATGTATGTATGTATGTATATTTATATCCGAAGCATCCAGGCCCAGGCTGTTCATGGCTGAACCCCTTGTTCCTGGACCCTGCCTGTAATTAATACTGAGGTTGACCTTGTATGCAAATCGGCGCTACGGTGGTTCAGACATGGTCTCCAGAAGTTTTCTAGGTTTCAGACTTGCTCTCCTGATGTCTGTCTCCGTGATCTTCAAGCCTGCCTCCGCGCACCAGGAAGGGAGAGACGCGCATGGAGATCGAGCGCCACAGTGATGTGGGATGCCACCCTGGGGTTGTCTTTGCAGGTTTCGCTAGTCACCTTTTCAAGGATCCGTAGTAACCCTATAGGTACATACCTTGTTTGCACCTTACACTCAGAAGCATCGTTGCAAGGCCAAGGCTTGTGTATAAGATATGCGAAATGCATTTATATATATATATGTATGCACATACAGACATACAACACATACTTACATGCATACATACGTACATGCATGCAGATAGATAACATGTGTTTCAGTGCGCGTTTTTGTGTGTGTATCTATGTGCATGTACGTGTGCAGTAGGGTAACGTAATGCAACGCGGTATGATGTAACGTAAGTGTATGTTCGTATTCGTATATTACATACATGTAACTATAACTGTATATGCACACACATAGGTATGTATGTATGCATGTATGTATGTATGTATGTAGTATGTATGCATGTATGTATGTATGTATGTATGTCTGTATGTGTGTGTGTATGTATGTATGTATGTATGTATGTATGTATGTAAGTAAGTATGTAAGTA